GAAAGAGGAAATCATGATGATCTAAACGAGATATCAGGACACTTCTCATGGTGTAACTGTCTGCTGAGACTTTTTCTTAAGTGGGTCGTATTTAATTTCAATTATTAATGTTCAGCCTTCACGACGGACTTGAAATATTACACAGGAAGGGAATCGCTGTATTACCCTTTGGAGGGATGGCGTCGATCGCAAGTGCGTCATATTAGAAGGGTTCGGTATCGTTCGATAAGATCTCTAGCAAAATCGGCATGATTTTTGCCGATCAGCTGAAGTGGATCGCACCTCGAGAACTCGAATGTCGCGAATTTACGGATCCATCGCGTCGAAAGGAGGTCTGCGTGGTGCAGCGAGGTGCCGAGTGCGATCAAGGCTTTCAGAGTGGTTGGAGGTTATTTAGCGACTCTTCGTCGTGCGGAAATTTAAAGATCCATTATCGATTTCCGGGCAACGCTGGATGGAAGAGCAAAATAGCAGCATGTAAGGAATGCCTAGGACGGTACTTCCCGCTTTCGTTTGCACCTCCCTCGCTGGCTTTTCCGAACTTTCGATTCGTCTCCGGGGGCTCCCATGGACCTTCGCCGGTGTACTTACACGTCCCCCTCTCAGTCCTTACTCTTTAGGTGATCCTCTTTCCTGCCTCTCGTATCTCATTTCCCAAAACTGGAACCGGTCCACGCGAATGCCAAATCCCTTTTTACTGAGACTTGTGCGAGACACCCGCTCATAATCGTACTAATAGGAGCTTTACGCTAGGTAATTTTCCATGGACAATACTGGAAAGAGTGGGAGAGAGAGGCAAAAAAAAATTTCATTTTGTCCTGCTGCTGCTGACCCCATTGGGATTGTAACTGCTGCCGGATTTCCTTGATGCTCATTCATGGTGAGCCCTCGAACTTCTAATCGATTTCCAGATATACCATTGCAATCTTGTCTACCAAATCTCCTGAAAGTTACTATTTTTTCCCCTTTTGTCTGCTGTTGCAATGGCTCTGAGGAAATAAAGCAAAGAACAGTACTGGTCAGGGTGGGAGAGAAAGAAAAAAAAATTAGTTATGTCATGCTGTTGCCATGCGGAACAGAGCAACAGCCAAAGGAACCGTGCACCAATATACCTTCCGCCTGATGTGAGCGACATGTGCTCAAAGTATGGGTTTCGATTCCTTGTTGCACTGTATTATGTATGAACTGCCATGTATCCGTTGATAAATGAGCGAATGGCACCGTATGTTCCTAGGCTTCTCTTCGCCCAAGTACCAATGGCTTTCAGAGAATGGCAGGGTGGAAATGATAGAAACTACAACCACTTGATGTCACCGATTAACATCCTTTGACTACACGTTTACTTATGAATTTTTGAATCCCGCGAATCGATGTCACGAAATGCTCCCTCATGTCTTAAGCTTTCTTATTACTGGATCCACGATTCGGTCTCGACAATGTGTTGTTATGGATTGAAAAGTATGCCAGTGACGGTAATACATCCTTGTCGTTTCCTCCTGAAAAATTCAGTTGCCTTCGTCCCCATTTCGTTTGCTTCGAGTTGTTTGAATTTCTCCTTTCTTTGCCATCGTGTTTATTTTCCGATGCTGAACATTTTTTTACTCGAGATCTAACGAATCTCCTTTTTAAGAATTTGTCTAGGGTAGAATTCGCGGTTGAATTCATAAAGGCGTAGCATCCGGACTCATTGGAATTTTCACGGTCACGATGCGTTACAGAGAGCACTTCCTTAATGAAGGCACGCACTTCACGCGACTCGAATATAGGGACGCGTGAAGCATCCCTTCACCACTACATCTACTCGTAACTCAGCTTTCACCTCTTTCCTCCTCCTCTTCTCCCCACTCTCCTCTCCTCCGCTCCCTTTTTCTCTTAATCTCCATCTCTTCCCTCCCCCCATGTTTGGGAACCATAAATATTGATCCAACACACCGCGGAAAGACATTTTCACCCAATTCCGTTTACTTTCATCGCTTACGCATGTTATTCACGATGTTCACTGTAAAACAGTGTAATTTGTTGAAAATATTGGGGGAACTGGAATATGAAATTGACCACTTAACGTAACATTGGCATATGTGGCATAGCGGAGTGAGTTTGCTTAGTGAATAAAGGTATTTGTATTTCCAGTCTTGGGATGCAGAAGTAGGGCTTTTATTTTGTAGAATTCACACCATCTTTCACGACAGATAAGACGAATGAACCTTTGAAGAAAGAAGGAAGTACCGTGAAATAAGGCTCGGCGTTCTGACATAGAGGTTTGCCCAGAGCTACACTGTAATGCTTACTATCGTGACGTGCGCTGGAGCAACAGGTGATATCCATGGGGAATAACACGCTCCCGGGCCAGGCTACAGCTCGGTCCATGCCTTTAGTATTATTGAAATGCGACGTTTATTACATTAATGGATTCCAAGACCGTTCCGCTGAGCATGAAGGAGTGTGGGAAAGGGTTGTAGATTGCGAAAAATGAATGTAACTGACCGGGTCCGCGCCATTTCGATATAACCCTGAACCGCACTTTTTGAGGAATGCTCCATGCACTTTTCGAGATTTTCTAGCTAGCAATTTGAGACAATATTCAACAATACATGCTTTGCAATGAACGTTACCCAATTAATAATGTCCGATTTTGACTAAACTCTGGTCATTGAAAGTCCTCTCTAATCAAAGCCCAATGGCACAAATACGTGCGACAATGAAACATGTTAAGGTTCAAAACTCTTTCCCGATGACATATCCTCTTATTCTCGGTGAGTTCCTTCCCTTTCCGTTCAACTTTCCGTAGACTATGGGGATGTCAGTTTTCTGGTCAGGTGTGACGAATGACAATATCCTCTATTTTGAGGAGCTGGGCTCGAGGGGAGGGAAGGAGGAGAACAACTTCAGTTTCAGTCATTTGCTCCGATTTGGGCGGAGCTACACACTCGGATCATTTAACTGGATGCTTGAGGCTCAGAAATGTACTGTAGAAAGTCCTTGCGTTTGCGTGTTGTCGTGGCGACGAAATCGACCAACGTACGAGGATAATCTTGGTACTTTTAATTCGTTTGACGGAGTTTGGTGGTATAGGGGTAGAGGAGCAGAAGCCTCCTGAATTCCTTTGCTTTTTCTTTTAGCACGAGTGAAGTGTGTGCTAGAGTGTTGCAAATGTTTCGGTGCAGATCTGTAATGTTCAGGAAATATTTTTTAAAAAGAGTTATGGCATCCGCATCTGAATATATATGTGAATAACGTATTCTTTTAAACAGGTACAAGTGCATATATTTTCCATTTTGGGAGAAACGCAATTCCTCTTGTTCAAGGAATTGGATTCCGCCTGCTTCGACGCAACGATCCAAAAAAAGGGCTTTCCCGTGTGTGAGTAAAAAGCCTTGACGTTGTCTTTACTCTTGCCCAACATAAAATAATGACCTCTTACAGTCTTCCTTCTCCATTTATCTTCTTATTTCATTCAGGAACTGCAGAGAAATCAACCAGACTCTTAGGGGATCTATTTCATTATATCTCTCCTCCAGCTTCGTCTTCCAAAAAAACCTCACCCATTCCACACGTGTGGTTCACCCGAGTGGATTTTGTTGGGTGTGGAAATTCCTCATGAGGGAATTCCACCAGTTTGTATTTGGCACAGTATGGACATTTCTGGCATTAATTCATCACAAAATGTCAGTTGCATGCATCATGACCCAATGTATGCATGTCCTACTTCGCAAACATGAACCTTTCTGGCATGCACTCACGTGTCAACCAGGAGAAAAGAAATTCAAACTGTGACTAATTTGATGAGTAATGCTGGAGAGTATTCCAAAGAAACATGACGGTCTGTAATAGAATTTCATCATGTTTCAAAAAAGTGGTGAATTGCTGAATGAAACTTTGAAACAGATCACAATAGACCTAAAATAGCATAAAATAGCATAACCTAATATAAAATAGTGTAAATGTTCAGTACATCTGAAGTGATACACATTTTCACTCACTTCCTCTATATCTCAAATTGAGAATAAATGGAGATTCATAGTCCTTCTTCCATTAGATTATATTAGATTATAAATGAGAGCATGCGAGCACTGCTACAACATACCATTGATTGCCAATGACCAATCTAAGAGTGTAATATATCAGTTAAAATCCTGCATGATCACCATTGAAAAAAGTGTTGACTTCGTGAACGGGATCGGGCTGATGATTTAGTACAGGCAATAACACACGTAGAAAGTCCAGTGGAAAGTAACATCGGGCCGCCAGGGCCGATATGTCGGACGTATTTAGGCGCACCAAGCCCCTACCACTCACAATGGAGACACAGAACCACCCCCACCTCCCGCCCCGAGCAAAACCCATTTAAATTTAGGACATGAAGCTGCCAATAGAAAGTTTCAGAAGGCGTTGAATGCACATTAGCATTACCTTAAGTGGGACGTTCCTGGAACTTCATTGATCGTTTCCTGGCTATTTCCGTCTACCTCAAAGAAATATAATGGTCCCTCGAATGTGGATTGTGTTGGCAATATTGTTCGCTAGAAACTATTCAGATTTTCAATTAAAGAGTTTTTGCTTTCAATTAATGGTGAAGTAGGACAAGGACAGCGGCAATTAGACTAGTGACGTCTGCTCGATTTTAGCGTTCTCAGTCATACTCTGATTCATTCGCATTTCTCCAGGGGTTAGTCGCTCATTGGTGATTGGTACTAGGAATAACGAATCCGTAGATCTTTTTGTCGATGACTGCAACGAGTGACCGAATCGACATTGCACTCTTCAGCGCCAACATTGAACTCTACCTTCTCAAAACTTAACCTTGTGACTTAGGATTCGCTAATGTATATTTGCCCAAATCCGAGTAAATCGCAATTCAATCCTCGACATTACCTCTATCGCTTTTTACCAACTTGGTGGAGGTAGCATCCTGTTTCATTGGTATTCTTGTCAAATTTTGGGATTCTGTGTATGGCTTTTGCTCCATGCCTTTCCAAGCCTGATCTTGTTGTTTTTTGTTCATGGCTAGGTATTCCGAATCTTAGGAATATTTTTATCTGTTGATTAAAAAAAAAATCAACATCATGTAATTATTTCCAAGCGAAGCACGATGTTTAGCTATTGTGTTCGGTACTATTGCCTACTTCATGGTACAGCGTACTTCATAGGCCAATCAGTTCAAGGCGGACATACGATTAACATAGAGAAGTTTTTCCCTCAAATACCATATCCATGGATGCTAAGAAATCAGTGAAAACTTTTTCAGCTCTCTATATTCAGCGCTTTTAAAATTAAAGGGCTAAGAGACACATTCCATGAATTTTGACTGTGTAATAGTCAATATATTGTTCTGGCAAATGTCTTATATTGAACCTTCGATGATATAACCATAGGCTAACCTCCCTCCAGTTTGAATTATTTTCTTGTTGGTTGTGACTTCACTTTTCCATGTGCTATTTTGCTGCATGGATCTAACAGGTGCAGTGGGTGGACGAGCTAAAGCAAGGTCTTACTAAGAGAAGACGTCATCTTGGATCATGCTCATTTCAAGGTGAGTCTTGCCGATGCAAGTGTAACAGCGATAATGAACTGTAAAGGATTTATGCATGAGGTCCACCTTTTTTGTAAACAGAGGGCGACGCATGGAGAGGATCGTAATCACAATTACCCAAACTTGGAAATGAGATTTCCCAAAACTGTATAGCGTGCCTCTAAATTGAATTCCAAGGATTATGCAAGGGTCATCTCATACGTTCATATGCCCATCTGGCGAATGAAATGGGGCGGTTCGGATGAGAACTGTATCTCCAAATCTGTACTATATTTTACTTCGTTAGCTCGATGACACGAATGCAGCTATTATTATTAGCCAAAAAGAACTCGTGGGATGAACTCGTAATGAAACTTTATTCAGCGATGTGCAAGATTTGGGCCCTGGACGACGGACCAGCTACTGAGTTGCGCATCGTTGGCACCGTGCATTTGATATTTCACAAGTTGAAACTAATTGATAAATTCTAAGGTCATAATTCGTTTCACAGTGCAATAATTTAACCATGTGCTTTCTAAAAGTTTCATGATTCTTGAGTGGCTGGATAGAAAGGAACAGGGATTCAAACCGACACAATAAAAATAATAATTTTTCACACACCATATTGGTGCCGTTTCTCCGCCTCTAAAATATAATTGTTTCCTTTCCTATCACGTCATGATGCCAGACTTTCTTAATGAGGCTTTTTTGCTTTATTGGTCTTGATTGAGTAGTATATTTATAGCTCACCTGAGAAAATAGGACACAAATCGATTGTGCGTTAATGAACGATTGGAAGGAGAGAGAATTTCAAACTTTCCAGTCTATTTATGGACTCTGTTCTGTAGTGTCTCTTAGTTCCTCAGCAATCCATTCAAAAACAATCCTCTAACAGAGGGGCACATTCCTTTCGTCAGTTACCACACTATGACACTCAATATTCAAGAAAGCTGCAATAAGAAATCTGTTTTAAAAACTAGACTTTCGGCCCTAGTAGCGTATAACATTGAAACAACATTGATTCAATGTTGAATCAACTTCCAAACGTTGAATGAACATTGCAGCAATGACGATTCAATGTTACGTGCAAATGGGGAAGTGGCAAATGAACGCATCTTTCGCCCTCTAATATTCCAGTAGCAGCCTGATATATGGAAATATAAAAATTTCCTCATGAACATCTCAAGAAAGTTTCCATTAATCTTAAAAACGGAGAAACTTGAAAACTTCCTGTGTTCTAGTGTTTTTTTTTATTCTGAATTTAAATATTCCTGACACCTCACACCCTACCCTCGTGTTGATGTAGTTCAATGGTTTGATTACCTCAAGAAAGTCCTAACGCTTATAGTCCAGAGTGTCATCCTTGTGAGGACACCTCAAGGTTGATACTGATAGATTCATGACACTAATGTTCAGTTTGGTCCTAGGTACCAAGATTTGTTGTGATATGTGTGTGTGATTTGTTTGTGTTAGTATTTATTTTTTGGCATGTCTGAAAGGTTAAGATATTAAATATGATTCATCATAACTAAAAATATAATGAAAACGAATGAATTAAAGTATAATGAAATTTCATGAAAATGATTACTTACTTTAAATGTAAATCTGGAGGACTGGATTCCATAAATGTGACTCTGCACCTAAAAAAAATATATTGGATTCCTCACACCCTAGTGTCAGCAAAATGAGATCCAAATAAAAAAAATACAGGGATGAAAGGGATACGTTTCATTAGGAAATAATTTTTGCTTGCCATCATCTGACAAGACAAGAAACCACTTAGAATAAATGCCCAAAATGCAAAAATAAAAAGTGTATTTCCATGTTAAAATACGCTTGTTTTCCGCATACTTGAGGACGTATCAATTGCCAATGTTTTAAATGATATTTACAACCAATTTTTAATTACTGTACAAAATCAAATATTTTGAAATCAAACTACTTGAGGAAGAAAATAATTCGTTAAACAGGTAACGGAAACTAGTTCTTGCTGCAACTTGCATATTTCACTGTTTTTTTTATTCCTCCATGGAATGATTTAAGTTAACCCCATGGGGTCAACCAATCCCATTATACAGTATGTTAAAACTAGGATTTATATAGGTATTCGTAAGCGTCTAACATACGCCATTTAAGTGCCTGGTATACCTAGTATATATGTTTTTTTGCTTTCCTTTTTTCTTGTTATAGGGTGATTGCTTGGCATTTCATGCTGACAACGCTGTCCTGCTTGTTCCGGTCTAAAACATCCTCCGAGTTCATCGTGTATTATGCCGGGAAAAAAGGGGAGAGGTACGGCAACGTGTCGCGTGCGCTGCAAGTAATGAACATTGGGGAATGCTCATCTGAATGTTCGAATGCCATCCCCACCCGCTCTTGCCATGCCTTCAACTTCAGGGAACGGGATGGCTCCTGCCAGCTAATTCAAAATAACCGAAGCGACCTTGTCCCCTCAGACGGGTTCAATACATATGTCCAACGTGAGTTTCACGAGATCGCATCCAGATTTATTTCATTATTTAATACGACCTTCACCACACCCAAAGCAAATGTTTCTTGTTGACGCAATTTTAACCGTTTCCAACTTCCCTTTTCAAATCATGGTTTTTCAAGGAACATAATTATAATGTTATATGCGGCTTACTGATGAGTTTCTTTTTTTCAACCCGAATGTAGAAAACTCTCTTCCTCATCGGGTATAAAGTCTATGAATACATTATGCGAAAAATGTTCATAGGGGGTTTGTATTTATACGTAGACGGATCTAATCCTTACTCTACTCTACTACTAGAACTTTGAGTAAGTTCCCCACCCTAATTAATGACGTTGGTGAAAGTCGCGGGAGGGAGTTATTAGCAAGCTTTTAGACTAGGGGATATTAAAAGAGGCAATTTCCCCGGGTCCCATGCGCGGAGGGACGTTACGCCGGCATCCACCCCATCATACTATTAACTCTGTCGTGCGACTCCTCTCCCAAGATGGCGGAGGGATTTTTTTGTCTCCAGGCAGCGAAGGCCTCTCAAGAGATATCTCTCTCTACAGTCCCGACCACTGGTCCCAACGCCCTCATCCCCCTTTTACTCCTTTTTTCAGAATGATGGAAGCTCATCATTTACTTCTAGGTTTACTTCCAGGCCAATTTCTGACATTTCTGGGATCATCGTCTGAGTACTGAAATATATTACGGTGTTCTCTCGGGTGTACTGAGGTGTTCCGACCTTTTCGCACACGTATTCCCGGAAGTGTTCTTCGCAATAGAACACCTCAAGGAACACCAAGGCACGGATGAGGTGCTCCATAATGTCCTCCGGCATGTGTTATGGCCACAACAATTTTTGCAGTGTTGCTGGAATAGCTGGTTTCTTATTTATAACTACGTATTTGAAGGAGTTACAGATATTGCCATGGTCACAGAGTTGTTTTTTTGTGCACTCGTCGCCGACACAGTCCTGTGCCTGACGGGTTACCCAATGATCAAGAACGCTGAGGAAACTTTCGTGGGGTGGAGGGGTGAGTATCCAGTCCCACAGGGCGGCAAAGTCATCTTCACTTGCAAGCACCCGAGAGGATTCAGCGACGGTTCCAAGCAGCACACGGCCACCTGCTCCTCCAGGACACCTGATGCTTGGTGCTCGACGTTTGTAGAAGAGAGGGCCCCCACATGTCCACACCTACGTAAGATTGTCGCATATAAAATGCGTGAGAGAGGAGGGGGAAGGGGAGAAGGAGCGAAGAGTTTGGGGGAATGGTAATATTCCTTTTTGCTGAGTCTAAACTGAGGCTGTGCACATCTCGGTCCAAAGCGTTGAAACCTGTTTCACGAAACTCTGGAACTAAGTTATTGATAATTAAATGTTATTAGATTCTTTTAAATTTAAGCTCATTTGCGATTTGAAAAATTCATTTTTGAAAACTGAAAATATAGGAATCCACCCATTCTTCCTGGATTCGTTTATTTCATCATGTATAGAATCCAGTTAACGAAATGTGACTGGGGAAAGAATACAAAGAATATGCAAAAAACAACACACGAACACGGCGCTATGCGTGAAAGGGTAGGAAATATGCAAGAAGAGGAGTGTGTTTGAGGTGAGAATAATATCTGCAGATAGAAAAGTAGGTAAAGAGAATTGGGGTAGAATGGCAGAACAGAGATCATTAGAACATGATTAAAATACGTTAACCTTTCTAACTACTCAGATGCTCATTAACGCTTTTCAGGTAAGTGGGTTTTCTGGTAGAGAGACTTCTAAGGATTGATATTTTTGAAAGCCTGGGCTTTTTTTATACGTCCAGTTGATTTTTTTCAGGAAAGTTAGCATTCATAAGGTTTTATTTGCTAGAACTAGGTCACGTGTCATTTTTACATTTCGTGCCGTATTCTATTCAGAGAATTCTACTATATTTTGTAGACCTTCGGAGCGAAGCGATTTAAAGTTCCTGAAGAGGTTTAATAAGCGGGCTTCGAATGTATAGACTTAGAAGTGAAGGCATTCATATGAGGCGCGTTTTGGATCGCTGGGATCCTGTTCGGCCGAGAAAAGGTTTAAGAGGGGAGAAGTCATACAAGCATCTACCATTTCAAAGGGCCTCTGAAACGTAGAGTGCAGTAGATCTCAAAATCAACGGTAGCGAGAGAGGGTGGGAATTTAAGTTAACTTAATACCCAGGATTGAGGAAATAATTCTTTAAAGGGAGGAATTCAGTAGGGGATATAGTCCTTGCTCTTTCCACTACTAGATTTATTATATACAAGGTTATTATAAAGTGTTACCATAAAAATGAAGATCCAGTAGAGTGGAAAAGTTAAGATGCTAAAAGAATGGTACTCTTTATCAATTACGTTTAAAAGAGGTGTGGCTAGCCCCATACAGAGTGTTTGTATTTAAACGCAGTATAAGAAAGACTTTGCCGCCTGTAGGTGGAGTTCGTCCTATGCTACAAGGTCCACCGGGTTGCATACTGGCGAGGAAACACACTAGGGATAGGTTTCATTCATCCAGATATGCAAGCCAGTGAGCTTTACGACAAGCCATGAACTCCACAAAAATGCGGCAAAGGATATCAGGTTTCTTCCCATGTTCAGACAGTTATAATAAGCAAACGATGCATCTTAAGGCTGTAGTCTTTGATATGAACGCTATTGGGACAACGGGGGGAGGAGTATATGGTTATCGAATATGGCCACCAGCCTTTACTCATTTGTAAAATTTGATACAATTGATCAATATTGCCTCCATTCCTGCCAACGATTGCTTGCGTTCAGGATATTTGATGGTAGACGGCTGACTGAAGCTGTCCTTGCCCTAGTAGCACATGACATTGAAACAACGTTGATTGAACGCTGATTCATTATCCGGACGTTGAGCCAACGTTGAGGTTGTAACTTGGGCACAAAATGGCGAATAGCATGTTAGAGGTCCATTGATGAGGTATATGCCACATGATGCACGACAGACTTGAGATATCCCCAAAGCCAAAAGTCTGCTGGCATCAGGTCGGGTTATATAACCATGCCTTTCTCGACCATTGGTTATCCGGAAGAATAAGGTCAAGTCAATTCCGGGACAACATGAATAACGACTTAGCCCCCTACCATATGTCATGACCGACGAGATGCACGCAGTAAGCTTTACTTTGACAATAGGATTGTTTAAGTGAGACATTACTTCGTTTACGTTACTGTAACTCAACATTATTCTACATTAGTCTGCTACTATGAGTTTGTCAGTATTCTATGTTGCTATTATTGCGTGAAGAACTGCCCAGCCTCTATGCATTCACTTCTAAAATGAAGCAGATTGGCGTCAATTTGGACGAATCCCCTTTTTCTTCTCCGTTTTGCACACATACGTTTCACTTCAAGAGGATTTATCAAGCCAGCAAATGATTCGTAATCACTTAATGGAATGTATCCACTTAAGGGAACGATGCTATGAAATCTCACGATTTTTCAGGTCCAATGCGGTTTTCAAATACTTTCCTGAAATATTTTTTTTTTTGCCAAAACAATTCATTTCATAGGTGAGGTATATCCAGAATGCCGGCTATCAGAAATGGGGAAGGAATATACTGGGAGTATAAATCAGACAGAGATGGGGAAAGACTGCTTCAGATGGGATTCTCCGGAATTAATTGAATTGTTTAATGTCGATTCTCTGGATGGGTTCAACCCAAACCTGTTCTACAAGGAGCACTTCATAANCGATTCTCTGGATGGGTTCAACCCAAACCTGTTCTACAAGGAGCACTTCATAAACCTGGACCCATTCTCGCATGACAACTACTGCCGTAATCCCACATCGAAGGAGAGGCCCTGGTGCTTCGTGGATGACGGCCACATCCATCCCGAGTACTGCCGGATTCCCATCTGCGAAGACTTGAGTAAGAAAGCACATTCCTTTGGAATACCTTGAAAAGTTGGTGTGATAAAGATATGTAGAAAATATTACTTTCTCTACAAAGGAACAATGCGGAAATTTAAATGAACTATATGTTACGTACAACATGCAACGATTAGAGGAATGCTTTTTTTTTAAATAATAAATAAAATAATATTAAATGCGTCAATTAACATTTACTACTTCATGCAGTATTTCTGAAATGGGAGGCGAGAAGAAAATGTACCCTTACATCCCAGAGCGTCAACTAGTCCGCGAGAATGGGGAATTTCAGGTGCCATTTTCTTTTGTACTTTTCCAGCGCTATTGAAAACCAGCCGTAATTATATTGAGTTTGTCAAACAGTAAACAATCATTTATTACTCGAAACGTAATGATGTTTCATTTAAGGTCTTAGATGAAACGTGGCATGACACAAATGATGTCATTCCCCTTTAGTCCAGAGAGCACCGTTCAAATCATTATGTAACGTCTGGCTTTTTATAACCACGAATGGGTATATAGTCCACGTGGTCTCTGAAACAAATAATATCGTACTGCAAAGAAAGACAAATTGCATTCATAACGTTTCGCAACGCTGGAGAGTGCGAAACGGTTCTCCAGGACAATCATTTCGATGAATTCTCGGGATTCGTATTGAATTTTTGCATTTTTCCAATTTCGTCTTACCCATAATAAATTATTTGGCATGTTCGATATTCATCAACAGCAATGTCTACAATGAGCTTAGAATGAGGAACATGAAGCTTTCGCGTTTTCTCTTGGGACACGTTTATGATTAGGTGGATTCCAAGTAGCAGCTTCTCGCATGTATAGTCTTCGAATTAGAGTGACAGTTATAAGATTGTGTATCCCAAACCAACATGATTCCGTGTCCATGGATGAGGAAGAGAAACACTCCTTTATGGTTGAGACGAGCAGTGTTGAGCATTCACCTCGAGGAATTCTTGTTCAGACAAGGACCGGTGGGAGGGGGGCGGTTGAAGAAACCACACTCTGAACCCAATGTTCTTCTTCCTTCCACCACTTGGAAAAACGACTTCATTCACGATTGACTTACTTCGCTGACCAGCCTGGAAAAAATGTTTAGAGCAAATTTTTGGTTTGGCACTAATCATGGAACATTGCACAAGGAAGATACCCACACTGCCTCCAAGATGGTTGAAATGGGGAAGGGCATCAAATGGAACCTTCTCATTAATGCCAGGATGCAAGGTAATTTTGGCTTCCATGCAACACAAGGCTAACCAATTGTTGAATGTCTGTCCTTCTACAGTAAAAAGATAGTGGTGTCGATTTCAATACCGTGGCCAGCATATAATCAATTCGAAGAAACTGCGTTGAAGTCTCAGAAGAGAGCATTTCGGCCACCTCGATGCAGCAAATGTAATGGTGGGGCCAGAGTACGAAGGTGTCTCCGTAACTCACAACAGTATGGCTCATCGAGTATTATTCCTCGATCCGTAGTCAGGAAATTTCTTCCTCCACAGATTTCCTATCCGCACGCCAATGAACTCACTCTTTATCCATTCAAAGCTGGTAAGAAAAACAACTGGGTTCTCTGTCAGCTCCCACATCCCATAGAATTCGAGCTGCTGCTCAATGTGCGGCCCTATGCGTGGCCCTACATAGCAGAAAAATTATTGAACATAATGGTGATGGCGCAATCGAGAAAGTCTACATCATTGATTCATGCCGCAGAGAACATCAGCATAACTACGATTACTTTAACAAGTCGATGGAGAGAAAAGTTATTTCTGTTAAAGTCGTTCTTTCCATGCTGAGGAGGGTACAGGGAATTTTTCTTCACTCTCTGGACTTGATTCTTCAAGGGGGAATGCTCAACCCAGCTCAACCGATCCGTAAAGGAGTCTTTTCTTTCCTCAATCGTGAGCACAGAATCGACTTGGTTTGGTGTAATAAGAAAAATTAGAGAAAGGCATGACCAAGCATGGCATCATGGCAGTTGGAAATGGTGCAATTAAACAAATTATAAATGGTGTTACAAGAAGTCGTAGGTCAGTTTTCCCGTAATCATTAATGTATACCAGTGATTATATTGCTGAAACTATTTATTTACTGGCTATGATGGCACATTCAGGTATTCGAGAATGCAAAGTGACGCCGAAGGGGGGAGAATACATGGGAAGGAAGAACGTGACTATTTCGGGCTTCCCATGCAAACCGTGGTACGATGCGGAGAACAAGGAAGAGGACAGATTTGCTACTATCAGCACCTCAACTTTCCCGGATGAACACAAAGTCGAACACAACTACTGCAGGAACCCGAATGGAAACCCAGGCGGTCCCTGGTGCAACATCAAGGATTCTGGTGGCTTAGACTTACCATGGGAATATTGCGATGTCCCCTTCTGTGGGCCTGATGATCAGGAGGAAGCATGCGAGGCTGGGAGCCAGTGCGAGCCAAGTGAGTATTAACAGTCCCCTGGAATTAAGATCTTTTGTACAGTACTACGGATCTTCTTTACAAAGGTACGGGAGAAAGTTCGAAGTCCGCATGCATGGCTCTGCGCGACTAGTTTAAATTATTACTGTGATTCTGCCGGTCTTAATCTTTTCTTAGGAATGGTACACCTTCCAGCGGCATTCCTGCACATCCCCAGACCTGAATCTACAATATTATTTGCCTCCTAATTATAGGAAAAACACTTGGGAACTAGGACTGTCATGAACAGTTTATTTTTAGCAGTGGCAGTATATAGTTTTCTTCATATTTTTCATTTACAAGTCGATTCCTCAAAAAGTGCCCAACACAGCATGAAACATGATACGGCTTCAAATTGAAGTTGAGAATGTTGGAAGCTTTTGTAACGCTTAGGTAGAACCTGAATTTGTATTTGGAACTATCCAATATAGGATAAAGCGGGCATGCAAGTTTGGGGAAAGCAGTCAAGATGGCTATTCCCAGGTAGCACAAAAAATGGTGTGGATTGAATGTATCATTGTCGAAGGTGTGTACTTCCATGTTGAATCAACGCGTCGACTCTCACCGTTCATACACACATGCGGAATAGTTGATTCAATTGGATAGTTAATTCAATGTTGCACTATTCACTGTGGATGTGTCAAAATTTAGGCAGTCTCCGTTCAATGGATTCTTTTGCAATTAAAAATCCCTTGTTTTATGTCTACTGCTAGAACTGTTTTTGCGTAACCCATCAGGTTTCGGTGAGTAGTTTACCCAATCGCCCAAAATACATTCGATAAAGAAAAGTGCTCAATTTATGGGAGATAATTTGGTGGCGGAATTTACGCCTTCCCAAAGTTACGTCGCCGGAAACAAGCAAAAATAAAAAATAATAAAATTTTTTGAGCACCAGACAGGGTGGAATTGTCTCAATGCAAACGTAATGTTAGTAAAAGGATATTTAAAATATATATATTTATTGTTCATTTTTAAAGCTAATTAATTGATTGACTTGAAGACGTGTTCAAATGTGGGCCTTTACCTTAGTAATGAACGAAAGTGTATCGGTGTAACCCATAACCTTAAACTTTAAATCTTAGTTCCTAAGAGTGGGGGGTATGCACGACGGTATTTAGAGGCCCTCTGAGTTACAAGGGCCACCTGGGGCTACCTGAGTAATATTTCGGGGAAACCATTTTTTGCTTTTAAGAAGGATATCAAGCCCCCTGACTTCATCGGTTATCCTAGGTAGAGCACCTAACAATGAATCATTATCCAGACGTTGAATCAGCATGTACTCAATTTAGATTCAATGTTGCGAGCTACTGGGGAGATTTATTGATTTATTTATTTGACTTTTCACCTTTGATCTATTAGATTCAACCAAGGTGGAAATTTTAAGAACAGACGGCGGGCAGGATGAACCACCTCTGTGGGCTGTATGTTTGACACTTCTGGTGTAGGAGAAGTTAAGTGACGACACTAGTTAGATATGCTCTAATAAGGCTTGAATTGCAATGACTGCTAAAATCACCCTTGCTTTCCTAAATTATAATGCAGAAATCTTGTTCGGTGACAGTCTTGATGGTGAATGATCATCACGTACAGTGTTTCCCATTTGAATCTTTTTTTTTCACCGTTGCTGCGTAATATAACTACCTGAGTATGGTGAATGCCTTTCACACATTTCGAATTGCTATAGATTATCCAAGAAATGGACAGACTCACGTAAAGCAACTTCGCTTGCTTCATCAATGCTTATATGTCAATTTTAAAGTATGGCATCCATGCTTCCACATCGATTCAATGTTGACTCCATGTTGAAGACAGCTATATTGCGAGAACGTTCTCCGGTTAATGTTATATCAACGGATGCCTGGCGAGACATGGGAACAAACAAGATTTCCTGTCCGCGAAGTGTGAAGCGTCTACTTGCCCAACATAATTACTGTATGTAAGCAATCAGCACGCGTCTAATGTACTTTTGCTGCAGTACTTGATGTTTTCTCTACAAATGCCACCGGGAAATGAATTGGACTTCCTGCATATTTTCGACCTAAGTGGCAACTCAACCAAACAGGATCCAGGATAAATCTGAACTGGGTGATGGGCATGAAAAAAAATTGGGAGGTCATATTACTCCATAAGACCACGGCACCCTGTCTGAAGGCAAATCATTATCACTGCCGAAGGATACGTGGAGGGAGGGTAACCTCTTCTTACATCACAGTAATCACACCAGTGTCCTGATTCCTGGGTAACATGATGCCTCTATTTCATCTCGGTATTAAGTTCACATTGTCCTTGGATGGTGGAATACTCTTAAAAAAGGAGAATTTGGAGGACGAAGATCGTGTCCAGATTTTAATCAATAATACCTTAGTCGTGAAATTGCGTATGGGCACGAATTATGGAGATTTTTGAGACCAGTCATATCAACATTGAACATCGTGGATTTAACATTTCTTCAATATTGAAGAAAATGGATTTTCAATATGGAATTTTAAGTTAAGTATAAGAATAGTTGATTAGCAACTATTGAAGCAACATTGCAATGTGGTGTCGAACAATGAATCAGTTATTGATA